GGGGGGGGGGGGGGGGGGGGGGATGCAGCTCAGGTGTGAAGTGCTTACATAAAATGCACAAGTCCCAAGTTTGATTCCTGGTCATATAGACCAGGTTTGGCAGCACACACCTGTAATTTAGCACGTGGGTGGTGTAGGGAGGAGAATCAGAAGTTCAGGGACATTACTGGCTACACATGGAGGCCAGCCTGGGATGCATGAGACTTTGGGGAATGCTAAAGTGGGTGAACAGTGCTGTTACCTGTGCTTTGAGCTGAACCACCCAGGGACAAACGCCCCGCTGGTGGTGCCAAAGTGAATTTAATGCCCTTGTTCTTGGGTCTGAGTCAGGGTGCCTCCTGGGTTCTCTCCAGGCACCCCCTGGCCACCTTCTTCCACCTGTTCTTCCGAGTGAGCGCCATCGTCACCTATGTGTGCTGTGACTGGTTCAGCAGGAGCTTCGTTGGCTGCTTTGTCACTGTGCTTCTCCTTCTGTCCTTTGACTTCTGGTCTGTGAAGGTAAAGCTCTTTCTCTAGGGACACATGGGCTTTGCTCCCAGATGGAGATGTGGGACCCAGGGCTGCTTTGGTTTAAGTTGTTGCTACATATAAAAGGACACTGAGGGGCAGGCAAGATGGCACAGCAAGAGAGGGCCCCTGTCGGCAAGCTTGGACCCCAGTATGATCCTGGAATCCACATGGTGCAAGGAGAGAAATGATCCCCATGAGTTGTCCTTTGACCTCCACAACTATGCTGCAGCACACGAGTGCCCTCCTTCTCCACACAAAATTAATGTTTGAAATATTTTTAAGGATTGCTAGGCTCATGTCACTTATAATCAGAGAGCAAAAATGCTTCAGTAAGTAGCTTCCAGGACCAGTTGTCATAGGTGACAACTGGGGTTGATGACCCCATATGGCTTTGGATTTTGTACAATTTTCATGATATATACACACACACACATATATAAACATATAGTGTGAATGCCTGCTTTATTTTGGGGCGGAGTCTTTGTTTTTTTTTGAGACAGTGTCTCATTATGTAACCCTGGCTAAGTCAAACTCACAGAGATCTGCCTGTCTCTGCCTCTTGAGAGCTGGGGTTCAAGGCATGCACTGCCCACCATACCTGGCCAGAATCCCACTTTACAAAGTGAGTAGGGCCGATATAGTGGAAAATATTTTTAATGCCAGCACTTGGGGTAGAAGGGCAGGGGTAGTTGGGCAGAGGCAAGTGGCTCTCTGTGAGTTTGAGGCCAGCCTGGTCTACAAAGTGAGTTCTGGGCCAACCAACTGAGACAATGTCTCAAAGAAAAAAAAAGTAAGCTTAAAGATGGAAAACCTGGGAAGCCCACTTAAGGAACAATTACAGTCCAACACCCTTTTTCTTTTTTGTGTGAGCATGCACACATGTGCTATAATGTACATGTGGTCAGAGGACAACTTCCTTCCACCATATGAGTGCTAGGGAATCGAACTTGTGTCATCAGGCTTGGCAGAATCATCTTCACCCACTGTCATCTGACCAGTCCCACACCCTTCTCTTCATGCCTTCTTCAGTTTACAACCAGTGTTAGTCAGGTGCATTGGTGCACACTCAATACTCACCACTCAGGAGGTAAGGCAGGAGGCTTGAGAGAGTTCAAGGCTGGCCTGGGCTAAATAGGAAGTCCACTAGAGAAACAATTAACCATTTTGTTTCTTGTGAGCTCACAGCCCTTTTGCCCCCTTTCCTCAGAATGTAACTGGAAGACTCATGGTGGGTCTTCGATGGTGGAACCAGATAGATGAGGATGGAAAAAGCCACTGGATATTTGAAGCCAGAAAGGTATGCTCTGAGACAAGACAAACTCATGAGAACTGGGGAAAGACTGCGTGAAGTTTACACAGGTTCCCTGAGTTCTGTGTGTGTGTCAGACCAGACACTGCCCTACACAAGTCCTCTGTTTAGTACTGTACTGTACAATACACAGTAAACAAGTGAAAATAAGAGTCACTGCTTGAAAAAGTCCAATGGCTGTCCCCCACCAGGTCTCTCCAAACCACGGGGCTGCCACTGAGGCAGAGGCACGCATCTTCTGGCTTGGCCTCATCATCTGCCCAGTGATCTGGACCCTCTTCTTCTTCAGCACCTTGTTCTCCTTAAAGCTAAAGTGGCTGGTAAGATGCACCCTGCTCCCCCTGCTGCTGTGACGAACCAGGGGCTAGAAGGGGCCTGACTCAATGGTGACCAACAGCTTGATGCAGATGGCCACATAACAGATACATTCACCATTTGAAGGGTATATTCTGGGGCTTCTGCCATTTTTGTGGGGTTATATAACCATCACAACCAATCTTAGGATTTGCTAAAGAGATTTTATTATAATTGTGTGTGTATGTGTCTGCATGTGGTATGTGCAGCAAGTATAGGTGCCCTTGGAGGCCCAAAGAGGGTATGGGTTCCCTTGGAGCTACAGCTACAAGCTGTTGTAAGCTGCTGACAGGAGTGATGGGCACCAAACCCAGGTCTTCTGTGAGAACAGCAAGTTCTCTTAGCTGCTAAGCCAGGTCTCTAGCCCATTTTAGAATTATTTTCATCACCCCTACCCCCCAAAAAAACTATACTTTGTCCATATTGCCCTCTATGCTGTTTTCCTGTCCCCTTGTACCCACATTCCTATATAGAGTTGCCTCCATACAATTCTGTTCTTTTTCAAAGTGGCTTCTTTCACTTAGCGCATGTTCAAGTCCAACCAGACTGTGGTGTAGATCAGTACAGTTTCTTTGCAAGGTTAAATAATATTCCATGGTATGAGTATACTGTATTCTGTTTCATTCATTAGCAGATAGGGAGTATTGTGGATATTAAATTATTTTTTGTCTCTGAGGTACTGGGGCCGTGTGCATGCTAGGCAAGTTCTCCACTGAGCTACATCTCAGCCCTCAGGAAGGAGTTTTAATTAAAAACTATGGTATCTTTTAACAGACCACCTTGCTTGGGTGGGAAGGCTGACTGTGCTCAGGTTTTATTTGGGAGGGCTGTCCATTCAATGGGGACACAGGACACAGGACACAATATAAGCAACACTGTGATAGTAAATGGGCTTCACAGTTTGGCTTCTGTCTCCACCACACCAGCTCCATGGCTTTGGATGACTTCTGTCTCTCAGCTTGTCTCCTCTGTGTGAACCACAGTGGTCCCAGCCTCTGGGTTGCTTAGGTGTCCACAAGTGTTTGCTTGGGACAGTCTGCAAAATCCCATTCAGTACACACCCTCAGCAGGCTTCCCTCTGCTCTGCCCCATGCAGGCTCTTGTGATCACAGGGATTTCCCTCCAAGCTGCCAACCTCTACGGATACATCCTTTGTAAGATGGGGGGTGAGGGCAACATCAGCACAGTTGCAGCCAGCTTTCTGTCCCAGACTGTGTTCCAGACGGTGAGTGACCAAGTTCTTCCCTGGATCCTTCCTCTGACAGAGGTGCTCAGAGTGAAGGGCACCTGTTAGCAACTGCAATTCCTAACCACTGTTTTCTACTGTGTATATGTAGTATCTACCATGCTATTTCCAATGCATAGTACTAGCTCAGCATGATGGCATACACCTTTAATCTTCATATTCTGAAGGCAGGGACAGGTGAACCCCTGTAAGTTTGAGGCCAGCCTGGTCTACATGAGTTCCCGCCAAACCAGGGCTATATAGTGAGATCCTATCTCAATAAATAAGCATATAAATATAAATAAAAGCACAATATGTCAGTTAGTTCTAGGGACAGCACTGTGCAAATGCTGTCCTTCTCAGAACCTTCTCACCTCCAACAGGTGTCCTTTAGACACTAGTTCCTCATTGCCCCTAGCTGCTGGTAAAGGATCGACAGCTCCTATCAGCAGTCAGGGTTTGACATTTTGTGACTACTGTTTAGTTTTAAGTGATACTTAAAACTATAGAATTGGGGGCTGGAGAGATGGCTCAGCAGTTCAGAACACAATGCTTTTGCAGAGGACACAGCTTGGGTTCCCAGTACCAACATGGTGGCTCAGCCATCTCTAACTCTAGTTCCAGGGGGTCTGACACCCCCTTCTGATTTCCACAGGCATCAAGCACACACATTAACACAGGCATACATTCAGACAAAACACTCACCTCATAAAATTAAATAAATTAAAACTTACAGAAGTGGCCAGGGAGATGGCTCAGTGGATGTGTAACCCTGACAACCAAAATTCAATCCCAAGAAGCCACAACAGTCAGATGCGGTGGCATACATCTATAATTGCAGGACTCCTGGAGTAAGATGAAATGTAGACACAGAAGTTCATGGGCAGCTAGCCTGGAGTACACAGTGCAGACAGGTGAGAGACCCTGCCTCAAAACCAAGGCAGAGAGAGAAAACTAACTCCCCAAAAGTTGTCCTCTGATGCTCACAGGTGCTTCACGGAATGCACATGCTTGCACACACACAATGAACAAACAAAAAACACCCCACAGAATTAATGAAAGAATGACAAGTTGAAGTCAGGAAATATTTTTTAAAATATTTATTATTTTATGTGTATTGGTGTTTCACCTGCATGAATGTCTGTGTTGAGGGTGTCAGACAGTTGTGAGCTGCCATGTGGGTCCTGGGAATTGAACCCAGGTTCTCTTGAAGAGCAGTCAGTGCTCCTAACTGCTGAGCCACTCTCCAGCCCAGGAAGTATTTCCTGAAGGGAGGGATAGAGGAGTTTTGGTCTGATAGCTTCACTATGCAGTGGTCCGAACACTGCTGCTTGTGGCAATGGGTCTCTTGAAGTGAGCTGCTCTTTGCTGGGACAGCCATGGTTCTTCTTGCCTTGCAGGCTTCCCCAGGTGACTTTGAGAAGCCCAGGCTTGAAGGACGGGACATCCACCAGCGTTAGGTGAGTGACGGATGCAGGCCAGAGGCCTGGGCACTCGTGGGACACACAGCTCCTGAGCAGTTGTGCCCCAGGTCTAGGACTCTCCCCAGTCCTCCAAGCTGACCTGGAGCAAGTCCAAGCTGGAGACCTGAAGTGTAGAGCCTGCCTGGGCCCCTTTGACCTTACAAAAGGTCCTATCTTCCCAAGGAGACCCCAGTCCATTCTAAAAATACGTGTGCAAAGGGGAAGGAGAGGACAGGAAGGACAGGGGAGGGGTTGCCCACCTTCCATTGTCACAGCAGTGGTGTGGAAATCTGGAATGACTTCCCTCGGCAGCTCTCAGTTCCTATGTCTTAGTCTCAGGTCACGCGGACAGTCACACCAGTCTCTCAAAAGCACCAGGAAATCATTTGTCTGGGATCCTGGGGATTACTGATGCCCTGAGGGTGTCCATCACCCTGTGGGTGATTTAAGGGCTTTCCAGGGTTTTTTTTCATGGACCCTAGCCAAAGCATGATCTCAGAGCTGGAGACCCCAGTGTGGGCCGAGGCTGCTGTCACTTCCGTCCACCTGAGGGAGCCACGGGTCTGCAAAGAAGCCACAATCCTCCCCAGGCTTATAATCCAGGCAGAAACAGCTCCTGGGAGTCCTGTGCCTCAGAAGCTTGCCAGTCCCTTGGATTCCAGAAAGCAGGCCCTAGGGGCATGTTCATGGAGACAGTTTTATTTTATGATGAATGGCACCTGTATGCAGAGTACCTGTACCTTTGATCTGGAGGAAGCAGGAAGATAGGAGATTAAAGTATCTTAAGGAAGTGACTTCAAATCCTGTCAGCATCTGGTAGCCATGGCCCCACCTTCCTGCTCTGACCGATGTGACCGATGGGGCTGGACCTGTGCCTGCAGGTTCTGTGGCTAGGAGCAGGTGGCACTTGTCTCTGTCCCCTTCAGGGATGGATGAGAACTACAGAACTCTTGGATCCCTAGAAAACAAGTAAGGGTGAGAGCTCTCCTGTCACCTCGGCAGGGGCCAGACCTGCAGCTGCCATGGCTTGCTCTGGTTTACCACATTTAGGATTTCAGTCAGTTTTACTGGCTTGGATTTCCCATGCTATGAAATCCACCCTCCTTGCTTCTCAAACTAAGAATTAGCTCACAACATGGAAAGAAGTCTCCTGAGGAGCCATGCTGGTCATTCGGTTGCCAGCACCCCTGCTGTCACAGTAGCCTTCTACTTCTGCCCACATCACTCCTCTTGGTGACTTCCTGTCAGTAGATGTCCCAAACACTTACTGTGAATTATACTTCTGTAGGCTGCTGTGGCTGGTGAATCTGGGGCTTCAACAAAGAAAGACTGGCCTTTGTCACAGCTTTTACCTTAAAGAGACAGAGAAAATAAGACCCTTTTGAAAGCCTCAATCTTTGTGCTTGCTGTGGCATGGCTTCCTGGGGCAACCCACTCAAGGACAGCAAAGCTGGGGAACACAACAGAGGCCTCAGCTGTGCCCCCACCCCCAGAAATCCTCACTTCTACTTTGCTGTTGCCACAAGTCATTTGGGTAGCATGTGGCAAATGCAGATTCCAGACCCAAAGAACGGTCTCTGCTGCTCTGGGTGGGCCCAGGAGTCTGCATTAGAGACCCACTAACCAGCAGCCCAGGAAAAAGAGAATACAGGGGAGGGAATCAGGGCTTTCAACAGAGACAATGAGCATGTGTGGCAAAACCTCAAGAACTAAGAAAGGAAATATAGGCAGAGTGAATGGAGCATCTTTCTAAAAACACACATGTCAATGTGGAACACACACAGCCTCTCCTGCTTAGGAGAACAGACCCTACAGTGCACACACCCTGCCCTCAGCTTTCACCTCATATCATTTCATCTTTATGGTCACCCACACTGGAGTGAATCAGTCAGCTGATCCCACACACACACACACACACACACACACACACACACACACAATCATCCTGAGGACCATATGTAACCCAGGGGAAATACAGCTCTTTGGCTGTGAAATTCCCTCATGCCCAGGTCACCCACACTGGAGTGAATCAGTCAGCTAGTCCTTCACACTCACTCTCTCTCTCTCTCTCTCTCTCTCTCTCTCTCTCTCTCTCTCTCTCTCTCTCTCTCTCTCTCTCACACACACACACACACACACACCATCCTGAGGACCATATGTAACCCAGGGGAGATACAGTTCTTTGGCTGTGAAATTCCCTCATGCCCAGGTCTCCATGCTGCTACCTGGCATACACCAAGCCCTGCTCAAACATCCAGTCCTGTCTTCCCTGACAGGAAAGACCAGCTCCCTCACCTGGGTGCACATCCATCAGCAGCTGAGCCCAGTCTGGTCAGGTTCTTCCCTCTCAGACCCAGGCACCGGGCACAGCTCCACCCACAGGCACTTACACTCACACAAGCTCCACTATTATTTTGGATACCACAATCTGTGGGGAAGCTGAGCCCCTGCCTGTCTCCTCTTCCCTACACAAGTGGATATTCTGGGTGAGCCTGGGATGGAGATGGGTGTGCACCCCTTCCTCAGTTCTGAAGGCCACTCAGGGTGCAAATGTCAGGATCCTACAATACCCACCATGGTCCCCAACAGCATGTCAATGTGCACCGCAATGGCACCGAATGGGCTGCCTCAATGCCTGCTAGTGACCAAGGGGCCCTACAGTCCCTGGGATGTGATGGAGGTGGATCTGAGCCTTAGGTCTCACTGCTTCTTTCCTGCGGCTGTAGGAGACTCTGTGGGTGCAGCTCTGACCCACCACTGCTGTGCAAGCAGCACAGGCCCCTCAGACTCACCTATGAGTGGATCCAGCGGCACTCTGCCTAGAAGAGGGATCTTCAGGTCCTGGCACATGGCCTCTGCACCCCCAGTTGTGGGAGGGAAGATCTGAGACTCTTTCTGTGACACACAAAGAGGAGGAAGTTTTATTTTGCTTCTGTATTGTAGGACACACTAGTTTTCTGACATTTTAAAACAGTGGCTTATTTTGGATGTCAAACTCCAAAGCATCTTCACTCAGGCAGAAGAGGGCTTGATGGACCCCTCCCTTCCTGACACAGCAGGGAAAGCAGAAACCTGGAGAACCATCCCCTCTGTTTACCCACCAGGACAAGGGTACTCAGTGGGTCCACCCCTGGGTCCCTCACCTTGCACTTGGGGCAGATGAAGCCGCTCATGTTCTCCACCACACCAATAATGGGCAGCTTCACCTTGTGGCAGAAGCTGATCTCTTTCCGGACATCCTGGAGTGCCACCTCCTGGCAAAGTTCACAGAGCAGTTATCCCACTGCCACAGGGCACTGAAAGACACATGTGTGGTCCAGGGGACAGCCGAGACACCCTATGTACACCACCAGAGTGCTGGGGAGCATGACCATGGCCTGGCGCTCACTAACCTGTGGGGTGGTGAGGATTACCGCCCCATCAATGTGTGCCGCAGCCAGATACTGAACGACTGAGAGGTGTTCATCAGATGTGCCAGGTGGGGTGTCTACAATGAGGTAGTCGACATCTCCCCAGTCTACATCACGGAGGAACTGCTTGATCATGCCTGGAAGGGAGCAAGGCTGAGTGTGTGCCCTCCTTCTGGCACACATCTCCAGTCTGCGTGAGCATTCCTACACTCCATAGCAGGGGCCCTCAACAAGTGCTACTGTTGTCCCCAGGGGGCAGGTGAGATCTGCAGACAGGTTGGGTGGCCATGATGAGGTCAGGGTGCTATTATTATATTATGTATGGCACACGTGTTGCCCCAACAGACTCATGTGGCCAACATGTCAAGAATGAGTTTGCCCCCAGCCATGCTTTCTGCATGACCTTGTTTCCCCCACACTGACTCAGCAAAGGGGTTTCACTTCACACTTCCTTCCTTGACACAAACCAGCCACGTGATAGCACACTACAAATGACTCCCGGGTCCAGAAAGTCTCAAGAGCAGAAGAGCTCACAGCAGGTACTAAAGTGTCTCCACTGAAAGCTGGCATGTCTCATATCATCAGAGCATTCACATGCAGGAGGTCCTGGGCTCCATCCCCAGTAATAGCATTAAAGTAATACCAAAGTAATATCATTAAACACCACAGAGCCCATGCATGCAGTCTCCCTGACAGAAAGGATGCAAGCAGAACCAAGAATTTGAGCCAGAGGAGCAGAGTGACAAACCATTTTTCTTTGGTCCCCTCCAGATGACAGCATCATCAGGGCTGCTGAGCAAGAAACCAACAGACATCACCCCCAGATTGTCCTCCACATACTGCAGAGAGAATGGGGATAATGGGGAGAAACATGTTTGCTTGTGGGAACAGGGGCACAACACATCTACATAAACTACATGTGGGTACTTCCCAGGGAATTTGGAAAAAAAAAAAAAAAATTCAGGATAAAGGTATCATGTGCCTCACACCTATGCTTGCTCTTTGCAGCCTTAGGTGAGATCTACAAGAGGCCATGTGTGGCTTGTGCCTCAACAACAGGTCAATAAGCTAAAACAAACAGTTAGGACACCATCTCCTCAGGTGTCCTATCTGGATGAGCAGAGACCTCACAATCCAGTCTTGGAGATGAGGTTTGACTGGGACACACTGTGGTCATTCAGTGCACAATGCCACTTTGGAACCGTGGAACCAGAGAGCACAGGTCCATCGGCCCCATTACAGACAAGGCCTGCTGGTCTTTGATCTTACCTGCAAACTTGGAAAACATCCTCAGTAAATGTTCTTGCCAACCCCACCTCCAATAGCACATCAGATACAGCCGACTCACACACCCTGCCTCCCCAGGGAGGCTAACTTACCACTGGAGACCAGCCGGAGCCACTCTGGTGAACCTGTGGGAACATGACAGTCATTCTGGTCATGTCGTCACTGATAAAGTGTCCAAAGAGAATGGTTTCACACAGTACGATTCACCACCCTGTACCGCACCACCCAATAAAAAAGGTTTTTAAATGGCATTTATTTAGTGTATGTGTACGTTTCATGACTGCACACACAGAGGTCAGA